CAATGCATTAATAGAATAAGAATTTCTAATTGAAATTGGTAAAATAAAATTCCTTGGATCTTTCAACTTGGGAGATAGTTTGTTTTATTTTTTTACACTACTTTCCTCTGTTAATTCCACAATTTCAAACTCCGGAAGCTTTCTTTTCTTTGTCAACATCTCCTTCAAAAACTTTGCATAGCTTGAAATTTGTAATACCGTATCGATGAATGGAATATTGATCGGGAGCTTCTTGAGAACATCGATAAAATTTTCAAATTTTGTGTCTTAATTGTTCTTCTTGAGTCTTTAAGGAAGAGAAATTGAAGGTACGTAAGCCTCGACTGGACTTGGTGCCTTGGTAATAGATGTTTCTATACTCTCTTAATTTTCTGTTGAGGTTGGTGTCGATTTTTCTTTCTTTGTGTCTTCATTAATTTCTTCCTAGTCATTTTTTAGTAGTAATTTCTAATAAATGTACCCCATTCCTTATAGTTATAGCACGAATGTTTTCCTACATCAACTTCTTTCAAAGTTTCTAGGGAAATTGAAATGGAGGTACATATGCTTTAACGTTTACAAGAGCTTTGGGTGGATCATTTTTTTACTTCTCTTATTGCCATCGGCTGCTCTTCGGATTCGTCATTGTATTGCTTGGCAATGATCTTGCTGGACATTCTATAAGTTGTTGAGCTACTTGACCAATTTTTATTTCCAACTTCTTAATAGATGCTTGCTGATTTTAAAAGTTAGTATGTACCCGTTAGAATACTTTATCTGTTTTTTGCACATATTGATGAAGCATTTCTCACAGACTTGGTAATCAAGAAAATACAAGATTTAAAGATAAAATCCTTTTTGAAGCTTGAACTTGATTTTCCCAAATATTTTTCCACTCCTTGATTAAATCTCCTTTGTGATCCAGATTTTGCTTCAAATACACCAAGAAATTACAAAGGAAAGAGGAAAGAGGAAAGAAAAAGAAAAAGAAAAGGAAAAAAAATAAAATGAAAGAAGCAGAATACCTAGCAGGCGGACTATGCAGAAGACTCAGCTGCTGGTTTTCAATTCAAAACCCTAAAGAAATTGCAGCCTTGGTCCCTAAAGTTTCAAAAGTTAACAAAAGGCCCCCAACTTTCTTTTTAATTAAAACAGGCGCTACCACGTCAGAGTCTCTGTCCAGCAAAAAAAAAAGGATTTAGATCACTTTGCAACTAAGTCCCTAGGATAATTGCACTCCATGTCCCTCAACTTTGATCTTGTACAATTTGGTCCTTAGATTTTGACTTTTATATCGTTTTTGCCCTCCTTAAATTGCATTCAAATGTCCTTCAACTTTTTGACTTGTTTGCCTTGGTCTGCACACTTTGATCCCTTTTCACTCCATTTTTCTCATTTTACTTTGTTCTCTTTCTTTTGGGTGAATTTTACCTACAAAAGCAAATATTACACAATTGTGGGTGGAATTTCATTTATTTAATCTATTAATAACATATTTAGATATTAAATAAGTGTGCAAAACACACTTATCACTTGGTCTTCTCTCTTGCTGGACATTATTCTTATATGTGTTGAAATTATGGGAGTCATTTTGAATAAAGTTTACTTGTTCCTTTGAAAAAACACAAGCATCAAGCAATTTCCTCTAGCGTGATTTCTTCCGCAATTCTCACATGCTGAACTAGCTATCACTGTATTTTCTCCACGCGTTTTGCAATTTTACAAATAACTCCACCTACTTTATCAAAATAGCTACCTATACATTGGTGGAAACTGTGATGTCTAAGTCATACATTCCAACTGTTTTTGGCACTACTACTCTTTTTGATGAGAACATTGAATTTGTCGTGGTAATAATTCAAACAAATTCATGAATTGTTGTACTGATTTTCCTATGATTGGTCTGCCATCAGAAAAATCCACTTGCGATTTTGACAGTGGTGAAAGTTTGGTGTAGAAATATTGCACTTGATTTCCAATGATGATCCATGATTTGAACACTTTCATTAGCTCCTTGAACCTGTTCCATGCTTTGTGATAGCCCTCTTCATCCCTCTGTTGGGAAATTTGAATTTTCAATCAGATTTTTACTACCTTTGTTGGTGGGAAGAATTTGTTGCATAATTTCCTGGTCAATTCTTCCTATGTAGTAATGCTTCCATGAGATTCAGCATTTAACCATTCCAATGCTGCATCTCGCAATGTATACGAAAGTAACCGCAACTTGATAGCATTTTAATTAACTCTTGAAGCATGAAAATTCTAACAATTTCTAAGGAATATGGAGATGTGTATATTTGTATTTTCATGAGATAACCCTTAGAATTGGAGAATATTGCTAGTTAATCTGCCCCTATTTGAAAATTGTTTACCCTAAAATCTGGATACACTATATTGGAGCGTGTGGGTTCTGCTATAGGCATAAAAAACATTGAGATTGGTGGGTCCCCTTCATTTATCTCCCCACGCTCATGATGCTGATCCGGTGGAGTTGCCACCCTTGTGGCAACTTGTCCAATTGATTGAATAGGAATATGAATATTTTGATCGTCAACCATTTGATGTTACTATTTTTGTTTGTATTTCTTTTGTCTTCGCCTGAAAGTACGTTCTATTTTCGAATTAAATGGTTAAAGATCGTTGTCCTAGGTACAGAGTAAACAACAAACACATTTTTTCTATAAATAAAAGAAAATAAACAAATCAAATAACAGCTAAAATAAAATAAATTAAGACTAAAAGCAATGGTACCCGACAACAACACAAAAAACTTGTTAAGTTTATTCTATTACAAATATACGATATCGAACAAGTAGTAAAATGGACCTTTGAGTCCATATTATCATTCCTACGAGGACTATATTTTAGCTCTTAATCTAATTTTTTTCTGACTACTATTCGACAAAGCAAATAAAGATTTGTCTATTTTGATTTTTAATCTAAATTATACAAAAATGTAGATGCACACAAAAATTGAATTATAAATTAAATAATGAATAGATATTAGGGTAGAACAATTCCACCTATTGATCACCTTTAAATCTTAAATCAAGATTCACATTTAATGTAGTGTTCGGTTGAATTCTCTTATTGTATTCAATTTACCCCTCTCGAGATCTCATCGAACCTATTTAACTAGTTCAATCCCATAACTCTACGTGAATCAACTCAGGTAAACAAAATCTTGGTTCTAAGAATTCATTTATGACCGCAAAATCAGTATATATATCTATGCACGATATACCCATGTACCGAATTTTAGTATATGGTCTAAATCTTAAACTCACCTCTCGATTCGTAAAAGATTCACAAAATTATCAAACTAATGATCAAGTAATTCGATACATTAAAATCACAGTAAAATCAACACATGAAAGAAGAAGGAACCAAAATCTTGAATAAAAGACATAAAGGATCCCAAATATATTACATTGTTCACCCTAACAAAAATTTTAATTGCTCATAATGAAAGAGGAAAAACAAGATGTTGTCATTGAACACCACCGAATTTTTAGATAGATATAGAAAAGGAAGTCAATTTTGCACCAAAATCTTCTTTCTCTTCTAATCAATGCTTCAAACGTTGAATTTCTTGATGTTTTCCATCCTTGATATGCTTCTTTGATTCTTAAGTTGTATTCTTCTTTTCTCAAAGTGTGGAATCCCCTTAAAAATATGAATGACTTGTTTTTATACTCCTCACGTTGATGTTGAGTGTAGGGTTTTTGATTAACTTCAAAACGTGCCAAATCGCGCTCTAGATACATAATCGTGCAGTGCCTAAGCACTAGGAGGCAGCACCTAGGCGCCATAAAGAAATCTAATGTGGTGCCTAGATGCTATACATATGGCGTCCAAGCGCAAATGGCACACCTGGGCGTTATAAGTGTAACCTTTTTGTTCCAGAATTTTCTTTTTTGCGAATCGTAGTGCCTAGATGCTGACTTGCTGCTCTAAATTCTTTGATTTTAATTTCTTTGTCTACTTTAGTAACATTTTTTACATTGCTTCTCCTAATCTTCAAAACAATACTAGCAAACACAAAAAAAGTTCTATACTTATAAGATCTAACAAATAATCAACTTAAAATTATGTAAAACTCGTAAGTAAAACACACTTATTAATTAACAGACACCACCACATGCATCAGTAATCACCACAAATGCATGCTAAAATCCATTATCTCTTCCACCTCTACTACACCACTACCACCACTCCTACCCTAATCAACAAAACTTCCAAACCCACTACCGTCATCTATACTTTCAATATACCACAAATCAACCTCCAACTTCAACTATAGGAAAATCAACTAGAGGAATTGCTTGTCGTTGCGTGTGATGATCGATCCATCGACTTCGTTGCCATATTGTGCATAGTGGCACCTGGAGAATTCGATCGTTGCTTTGGAGAAGTTGAGTACCACTGGTGATACCATCACTGCTGCGCGGGGCAATCGGCACATCGACTTCACCGGATTGCTAGATTGTGCAGTGTGTGAGAGTGAGTGAGAAAGGGTTGTGATTGAGTGGAATGTTGAATTGGGTGAGATCTTTAGGGTTTCGGTAGGTGTGGGCTGAGGGATCGATATATAATTTTATATGTTTTTAAAATAAAAATAGTTATAATATTTTATAAATAATAATTATAACCTAGTTTTTGTATAAATAAGCTTTAGATTTGATTTTTGAAGTTAAAGTTTAAAAAAATTGGATTGGGTGT